AGTGCTTTGGTGGGAAATGGGCAGAATTTTTAGCGCGTTGGTGCAAAATGGGGGTGATTTTAAGCTCTTTGGTGGGAAATGGGGGTAACTTTAAACTCTTGGGTGAGAAATGGGGGTGATTTTAAGCTCTTTGGTGGAAAATGGGGGAAATTTTAAACTCTTTGGTGGGAAATTGGAGGAATTTTAAGGTCTTTGGTGGGAAATGGGGTTGATTTTAAGCTCTTTGGTGGGAAATGGGGGTAACTTTAAACTCTTGGGTGAGAAATGGGGGTGATTTTAAGCTCTTTTGATGGAAAATGGGAATTTTCAGCTCTTTGGGGGTGTCATTGTAGGCTCCTTGGTGGGAAATGGGCTTTTTAGGTTCTTTGGGGGTGTCATCGCAAGCTCTTTGGTGGGGAATGGGGGGAATTTTAAGCTCTTTGGTGGGGAATGGGGGGAATTTTAAGCTCTTTGGTGGGGAATGGGGGGAATTTTAAGCTCTTTGGTGGGGAATGGGGGGAATTTTAAGCTCTTTGGTGGGGAATGGGGGGAATTTTAAGCTCTTTGGTGGGGAATGGGGGGAATTTTAAGCTCTTTGGTGGGGAATGGGGGGAATTTTAAGCTCTTTGGTGGGAAATGGGCTTTTTAGGTTCTTTGGGGGTGTCATTGTAAGCTCTTTGGTGGGGAATGGGGGTGATTTTAAGCTCTTTGATGGGAAATGGGGGGAATTTTAAGTGCTTTGGTGGGAAATGGGGGTAACTTTAAACTCTTGGGTGAGAAATGGGGGTGATTTTAAGTTCTTTAGTGGGCTTTTTAGGCTCTTTGGGAGTGTCATTGTAAGCTCCTTGGTGGGAAATGGGGGGATTTTTAAGCTCTTTGGTGGGAGATTGGGGGTAATTTTAAGGTCTTTGGTGGGAAATGGGGGAATTTAAAGCTCTTTGGTGGGAAATGGGCATTTTAGGATCTTTGGGTGTGTCATTGTAGGCTCCTTGGTGGGAAATAGGGGGAGTTTTAAGGTCTTTGGTGGAAGACTGGGGGTGATTTTAGGGTTTTGGGAAATGGGGTTGATTTTAAGGTCTTTGGTGGGAAATGGGGATGATTTTTAGCGCTTTGGTGGGAAATGGGGATAACTTTAAATTCTTTGGTGGGAAATGGGGGTGATTTTAAACTCTTTGGTGGGAGATTAGGGGTGATTTTAAGCTCTTTGGTGGGAAATGGGGGGAATTTAAAGCGCTTTGGTGGAAAATGGGAATTTTTGGCTCTTTGGGGGTGTCATTGTAAGCTCTTTGGTGGGAAATGGGGGGAATTTAAAGCGCTTTGGTGGAAAATGGGAATTTTTGGCTCTTTGGGGGTGTCATTGTAAGCTCTTTGGTGGGAAATGGGGGGAATTTTAAGCACTTTGGCGGGAAATGGGGGTAACTTTAAACTCTTGGGTGAGAAATGGGGGTGATTTTAAGCTCTTTGGTGGAAAATGGGGGAAATTTTAAACTCTTTGGTGGGAAATTGGAGGAATTTTAAGGTCTTTGGTGGGAAATGGGGGTAACTTTAAACTCTTGGGTGAGAAATGGGGGTGATTTTAAGCTCTTTGGTGGAAAATGGGGGAAATTTTAAACTCTTTGGTGGGAAATTGGAGGAATTTTAAGGTCTTTGGTGGGAAATGGGGGTAACTTTAAACTCTTGGGTGAGAAATGGGGGTGATTTTAAGCTCTTTGGTGGAAAATGGGGGAAATTTTAAACTCTTTGGTGGGAAATTGGAGGAATTTTAAGGTCTTTGGTGGGAAATGGGGGTAACTTTAAACTCTTGGGTGAGAAATGGGGGTGATTTTAAGCTCTTTGGTGGAAAATGGGGGAAATTTTAAACTCTTTGGTGGGAAATTGGAGGAATTTTAAGGTCTTTGGTGGGAAATGGGGGTAACTTTAAACTCTTGGGTGAGAAATGGGGGTGATTTTAAGCTCTTTGGTGGAAAATGGGGGAAATTTTAAACTCTTTGGTGGGAAATTGGAGGAATTTTAAGGTCTTTGGTGGGAAATGGGGGTAACTTTAAACTCTTTGGTGGGGAATGGGCATAATTTTTAGCGCGTTGGTGTTAAATGGGGGTGATGTTAATCTCTTTGGTGGGAAACGGGGGTAATTAATGGGTGTAATTCCTGCCACCCCCCAGGACTGGGATTGTGCTGGAAAACCCCCAGCACCCAGCCCTTCCTGGGGGTTGGTGGCTGATGGGGAGTTTTCTCCTTATTTCTAACAGGATTCTTGCTGCCCCTTTTAAACCTTGGGGGGAGGAGGGGGGGGAAATAACTGCTCTGGATGCCCTTAGTGATGTGGATGTAGCCCCTTGCCAAGCCCCTTGCCTAAAAATCCAGAATCGAGGTGCTTTTGGGGGCGTTTGTGGCTGCTGGAAATCTCTCCCCCGTGGTTCCTGCTCTATACTCTATAAAAATCGAGTCCAGGGAAGCTTTCCCAAACCACCCCAAACCTCCCAATTCCCTTCTGCCCCCCCCCAGGGGCTTCACTCCACCCCGGGGACAACTCACCCTTTAAACAAACTCATCCAAACCTCTCTGGTAATTACCTTCCCCGGTAATTAATTGCTCCCTGATGGGTGCTGGAGCTGCAGCAGAGCCTGGCCCCTGGAGGGGGGGTGTTTTATCTCTCCTGGGGGTGAGGGGGCTTTTACCTGGTAAAGGGGTGGGTTTTTGGGGGGGTTGGTGGTGGCCTTGGTGGCCACCTGGGTCTCCATCCCCACAGGGTGCCCGGGAGGGTGGTGGCCTCTTCCTGCCCCAGGTGGAAATGGGTTTGGGTGGAAATCAACCGGGAATGGGGGCAAAGAAAGTGGAATATTCCTCCATCCAAGCTCTTGATCCTTTCGAGGGGGGGGGCTCAGGAACGGTCCCCCCAGCAGAAGGGAGGTGGGAGAAACGACAGGCATCCATCCATCTCATGCCTATTTCTTTATTTTTGGGTTATTTTGGGTTTTTTTCCTTTTTTTCCTACAGCAAGGGGGAGCTGGGGGCATGGGGGGGGGGTCTCTGCAGGGAGGAGCCAGAGGATGCAG